CCAGGGTTCAATCTTGCCTAAGCTTTAGAGATTCAGTTGGGAGGAAGTTTCACATGAGTGAGGGTTTTGATCAAGCTTCAAATGGGAACCTAGGCAAGAACATTAACCCAGTCTTCTGGAACACTGCTTCATGTTAAATCTGATCTTAAAAACTTCATTGTATAAATGGAATACATGAAAGAACTGCATTTAACACTTTTTGTAAGCCAACTAGACCTATCCAGCCTATATGGGAAGGGATATATCTTGCAATTACGTAAAGATCACCTTCAACTGTGGAGGTGCAAAGTTTGTTCCTTGGAATACTCATACCCATTCCCACAGCATCTTTTTTTCCTGTTTTTTTTCCTTTGATGTTTGTCTAAAAGCCTCAGCCTATAAACATGCTATTTATGCTATAAAACATGTTACAAAAAAAAGTTCTGAAAGTCTATTAATGCATTCCCGTTAGCATTCTCTGCATATATTTCACACTGATCTTTAGAATGGAAACAGTGTTTTTAGTCTGTGCTCGTACAACACACAGTCTAGTGGAATACAAAGATGAGTTCCTAAGTAGTCCTCAGAGCTCCCAGAGCACTCATCCAGCAGGCCCTCTATCTTAGTGATACCACCAAAAAAATGCTCTGAAAAATGTTTTTCTGATTTCTAGCACTTGTATTTGCAGATGGATTCCACTTTGTAGTAATTGACTAATTACTAATTGGGTAACTCCTCTTCAGTACTCCTTCTAGGAGCCCTGACTGGTGGTTGCTTTCCCTTGGTCCACACTTCCATCATCTGTGTGATTTGCAGACATAGGAGCCCCACCAGAGCCCATTTGACATCCAGTAGACAGCCCTGGCCATCACTGCTCAAACCCCTTCCCTTGCCTCCCTCCCTCAGCTACACAGGTACAGCTTTTTGCAGCAGTGTGTGGTGATCTGGATAAGGGGTTAAAGATTGTGGTTAAGGTTGGGCTGGAAATGTTTACAGTTTTTTAATTAAATAGGGCACAATTATCAAAGTTATTTTAAAATTGTCATCTGCCCCAACTCTTGCACGTGGGTCATTTTATGGCTTCAGGGACATCTGTTCATATAACTGAGAGGGTGGTGCAGAGGCAGAATCTGCTGCTGATAGAAATGCCTGTGAAATGATGAGCTTAGTGTCTTTACCGAGAGAGATGTGTTGACTTCCCTGGAGAGATTATGCCCTTGTTGTCAGCCTGTTTGCCAATTGGCTGTTCCCTTTGTCTGGGCTTCTGATATTCAGGTGAAGAGTGGTACAAAACCCTGGTTTGTTGTGTGCAGCACATGATCTCTGTTCTCTGCAGATAAATCGTTCTGACATGATGTAGCAGTAACAAGATGCTTAGCCTGAACAGCTTCTGTTATCTATTTCAGAAGCTTCAGTGGCCTTTTAAGTATTTCATTGCAAATAATTTCTGGCAAATCCACAAGAATACCAAGCAAAAAGGAGGAGAGTGAAAGTCCTGATTACTGTACTTACAATCAAAGAAACACCTCGATGGGCAGTACAAAAAAACCCTTAGCTCCTTCCTCAACCAGCAAACCACTGATTATCGATGACTCTTCATTCCACAGACATTACATGATCAGTTCACTTCCTTGCATTACTCTGAGACTCTCCCCCCATATCAGCTGTGAAACCATTAGCCAACCAAGCCTTCTAAATTGTATCACAGAAACATTTTTTCTCAGCTAAGAACAAGTATATCTCTCAGAAGGATTTCCAGGATGATGTGATCCTACTTCTTTCACAGAATTGAAACTACTTTTTTTCTAGAAGACTCAAGTACCAACTGCTTTCTCCTGGCCCAGCCTCCCTCTCCAGCTGTTGACTGTGAAAGTCTCCTTATTTATTTGGCACTTTTACAGGGATTGGTAATGCATCACTATACTTACTTGTTCCCAACATCTTTTTCCCTGTAATTGACAGCAGGAGTCCTTCCACAGGAAAATATCTCTGTGATGTTACAGCTGCATATCCAACCCTGTACTCCACTACTTTCCTGTCTTCTCTCCCACATGCAACTCCTTTCAGAAATGACAACCTCTAAAACATATTCTCTGTCAAGAAAAGTTACACAGTTACTCCCTTTCCTCAGTGCAGAACAACACAAGTTGGCTCAATTGAGAAACACTGCCTGAGCATCACAAGCTTTTGACTTGAGTGCAACTATGGATTTCTTTCTGGAATCAGTATCTGCTTAGGATCAATTTTCACAAGCTGGAATGAGATTTGAGGCTCTGAAACAGCACCCTCATGAGAAGCAATTTTAATGGCACTTGGGCAGAAATACTTATTCTTGATTTCATCTTACTTGAAGTATTTCACAAGCAATACTTTATTAAAAATGCTTAGTTAAAATGTCACTAAAACAATTCCAAAGAGTCTGATCACCCTTTACTATTAATCTTCACTCTTCCAACAGCTCTGCAGTCTGTCTCATGAAACTCCTACTGTCTTGTTACTTCATTATTCCCTTCTAAAATTTTATCATTATAGCCCACTTCACACCTCCTCTACCATACTGTCAAATTCTACTGTGACCTATAGTACATATTATAGTTCTAGTTATAGCTATAGAATCAAACCTGCAAAACCTACACTCTGATCTGCCTGTGACATCTAGGTCACCTTTGGCTGTCCCCAAATATCTTTATGTTTCTGTCTCCCCAGCCATAAAACTACTCTGCTCTTTGAGATCTGTGGCTGAAAACAACAGAATAGAGCTATATAATATTTCTGCTTACAAAGTTTTCAAGTGTGCTGTAACCTCTTTGACTGACTGAATCCATGCAGAGATTAATTATATATGGTAGACCTAGAAATAAAGTATCTGTAAAGGGCCCTGCTGGACAGTGCCTTTCAATCAATGATCTAACACACTTTCTGCTTCTTCCACCCACTTGGTCAATTATTCCTTGATGAAGAGGAATAGGTATGAGGCACCCATGCATCTCCAACCTGAAATAAATTGCTGTCTTTTAGCTCTTTGCTATGGAGGTCTAAATGATGCTGAAGGCATTTAAATTTCCTGTGGCAGGTTATCCTTCCTTGCAGAAAAAGAAACTTAGCTCAAGTCTTCTCCCCTCCAGTTTCTTCACAGATACCCCTGACTGCATTCAATTGGATGCTGGGAGTGGAAACCAAAAGAACTGAAGCTCTGCCTGAGAACATTTGCCACCCACATACTGCAACAGTGTTCAAGAGTTAAATCTTATTTATGAGGCTTAGTTTCATTTCCAGTCCTTTGTGCCAAAAATCCCAATGCAATGTAATTTGTGCACACAGTGGCCACACAGTTTTGGCATTACTTGCTACACACTAGCCCTCTCTTAATCTGGTCTGGGATCTACAGACACACTATAACCTCACAAATATGTGTGAGGATATGACAAACGATATCAAGAGAAGCATGTAGAGACACATTCAACAGGCAATAAAAGACGTCAGACAACCCTAAAATAAGAGACACTGAGAAAGGTATTAACTGTACTGCAATATTTGAGCATGAGTTCAGAACTTGAAGTAGCTTGCTTTGAACATTTCATCAGGCATCTTTCTCTGTAGTAAGCCAAACTATAGGTAGCCAGTACCCTTTGGACAAATTTGGGACCGAACACAGACACATTTTGCTGCTCAGATATCTTTTGAGTGGAAGTCAAACAATTTTGGATTTTGTCATGATATATTTAGGCACAGGTTTTAAAAGAAAACCGACTCACTACCTTCATTCATGTTGAATAATATCAAATTTAAAATTCACTCTCTAGGCTCATTCACTACCATCATTCACCTGAAGGACTTGAGGCTGATATTACAGGAACTCATTTTCCAAGTGATAATGTGTCACTTTGACGTGGGAACATGTCTGACACGGGACCAACACCAATCTCAAAGGAGAGCCTTATGGATTTCTAGTCTATCCTTTGGGAAAGACTAGTGTACCCTTCTGCATTGCTATTTGTCAAAAAAAGGCTGCAAAGACAAAGAAGACAGTCTCAGTTCTGGATGCCTGCCAGGATAATGTAACTCTATCCCATCCTGTGCTCCAAGTAAAGACCAAGAAACGTTCATCATTTGTGTCATTGGCTCTGGCCCTCCCCGAGGCTCCGAGTGTCAAACTGCAACACAGCAAGCTTCGAACCGTGTCAAGAGTAATACTGTAACTAGCACAGGGTCACAAAACGAGCCTGACTATCTGGTCTGATTATAAATATCATGCTTGTAAAGCAGCTTTTCAAAAACGCTGCCAAATCTCACGGTTACCAAGCTTAGGAGCTTCGTTCTGCTTGTAAGCAGCTTCCTCGTTTAAATCTTTGCTGCAAGGACCGACAGCGCCCGTCGGATCGGTGGGATGCCTGCGGTCCAAGGCCAGCTATGAACGCCCGGCTGCGGGAGCAGATCCTGGGGCCGAGTCCGGACTTGGAGGGAGCAGACACCGAGTTGAAACTCCCTTTCTTCCCGTCCCGTCCCGTCCCGTCCCGTCCCGTCCCGTCCCGTCCCGTCCCGTCCCGTTCCCTTCCCATAAAGTGGCAGTGAAAGCGTTCCCGGATGCTATTCCGGGATCCGCGCCCCCCGCCCCGGCCGGAGGCGGCACTGCCCACTGCTTTTCCTCCCCCTCGCCCACCACGGCAGCCCCGCGGGTGAGACGGCGGCGGCGGAGCTGGGAGGCTCCGGCTCTCCCCTCGGACACGGGCGCGGGGGAAGGGGTCCCTGTGGGGAGAGGGTCCCCGGCTGGGGGGACCGCTGCCGGGGCAGGGAGCGCGGCTGCCCCGGGCCAGCTCCGCCGGGCGCGGCAGCGGGGCCAGGCGGGCTGACGGCTCCTCCCGCCGGGGCGCTGCCGGGCCGGGCCGGGCCGGGGGCGGAGGAGGCGGGGAAGGGGGGAGCCGCTGCCGTCACCGAGGCTCCCGGCTCTCTCAGCTCGTCGCCGCGGCAGCCCCAGCCCCGCTCCCACCCCCTCGCCTGCCTCCACCCTCCTTCCTTTTCTCTCGCTCGCTCGGCGAGAGCACTGTGCCTCCTTTCCCAGATGGCAGCCGGCAGCGCCATGCAGCCTCCCGTTCCTCCTCCTCCTCTCCCTCCTCTCCGGCTCTAAGTTAATGCCATGCTGCCGCTGCTCTTCCCGGCACTGCTGGCCGCCTGCCTGCCGCCCTGCCAGGGCTGGAGCCCCTCGGCGGCTGCCAGCGGGCAGGAGGAACAGGAGCAGGAGCTCTTCTTGCCCCCTGCCAACTCCTCCTCCCGCTCCTTGGCCAGCCTCGAGATGGACCTCGACGGGGCAGCGAGCAAGGAGGAAGGCAGCACCGACAGCCCGGGCACGCCGGCTGCCCCTAGCCAAGAGCCTTTCCCTTCCGCTCCCACCACCTCCGGGCAGGAGCAGCAGGGGCAGCAGCAGCAGGAGCAGCAGCAGCGTCCCCAGCCGCAGGGGCAGCCGCAGCCCGCCGAGGACCCGCACTGCAACATCAGCGTGCAGCGGCAGATGCTGAGCTCGCTGCTGGTGCGCTGGAGCCGCCCGCTGGGCATCCAGTGCGACCTCCTGCTCTTCTCCACCAACAGCCACGGGCGGGCCTTCTTCTCCGCCGCCTTCCACCGCGTGGGGCCGCCGCTGCTCATCGAGCACCTGGGGCTGGCGGCCGGCGGCGCCCAGCAGGACTTGCGCCTCTGCGTGGGCTGCAGCTGGGTGCGGAGCAGGCGGGTCGGGCGGCTGCGGGGCGCCGCGGCCCAGCCTCAGCCCCAGCCTCAGCCCCCCGCCGCTGCCGCCGCCGCTGCCGCCGCCTCCTCCTCCTCCTCCTCCTCCTCGCTTTCCTACCCGCCGGCGGCCGAGCCCGGCCAGTACTGGCTGCAAGGGGAGCCGCTGAATTTCTGCTGCCTGGATTTCAGCCTGGAGGAGCTGAAGGGCGAGCCGGGCTGGCGGATGAACCGCAAGCCCATCGAGTCCACCTTGGTGGCGTGTTTCATGACTCTGGTCATCATCGTGTGGAGCGTGGCCGCCCTCATCTGGCCCGTGCCCATCATCGCCGGATTCCTGCCCAACGGCATGGAGCAGCGCCGCGGCACCGCCGCCGCCACCGCCACCGCCGCCAAGTAGCCTCTCCCGGTGACCCCCCTTCTCTTCGTCTTGTGCTCTGGAGGGACGCGGGACGGACTCTCTCGTGGTTTTCTTGTTTGCAGCGTGCCACAGGTGCGCGGCGGGACGTGGGGCCGCCTCAGCGCCCGGCCCGGCCCCGAGGGCAGCGGCCCCGAGGGGACCAAATCATATGTGCGCGTTTTATATCTTTAATACCCGTTTTGATCGAACCTTTTAGTAAAAAAAACAAAACCAAAAAAAAACCAAAAACAAAAACAAAAAACCACCAAACACCCCACCCCACCCGATTAAAAAAAAAAAGGCAAGAAAAAGCCCCCCTAAAAATTCAATGGAGGAAATCAAAGACCCTCCTATTCGGCTGCATTTGTTGTCAGAGTAGCATTTTTGTACAGGATGTGGTTTGAACGGGTTTTTCCTTTATGGACAGAAAGGGATGTCTCTCTTTGACAGAATGGAGAACCGATGCGGTATATATATTGTTATTGCTGAAGCTGAACTTTAATGAACCTTTCACACTGTATTTCCTGGTTGAGATAGTGTGTATTTATTATTGTAGCTCCGCGTTATTTGGCTTTTAATACAGAGGTTTTCTTTCTGGAGCCACTGTAGCCTTTTGTTGGTCTGTTTCCTCCAGGGTGGAACAGAGGGTTTGGCTGGCCTTCCTGTCTGCGAACCTGCCACGAAGCTCCTTTCCCCATGAAATGGTGTTACCGGGCTGTTGGTGGCAAAAGGAGAATCCCAAACCCTTTCTGGCTGGTGTTTGCCCTATCTGTGCAGCAGATGAGGGTCTGTATGCCTACATCAGGGTTGAGTGGAGAGGGGTGGGGAGCACAGCTGTGCCAGAGATCCTCCAAAGCAATTTCATCTGCACAGCTCCACAGACTAAGGCTTTCTCCTCAGTTTGAGCTTGGGTGGCTTCCGTCCTGGGAAGATGAGGCCCACTCTGAGTTGTGCTAAGCAGCGTGGGGCAAGTCTCTTGACTTCCTCAAAGTTCATTCCTCAAAACCAGCTTAGATGCAGTGTATTTGTTGGAGACACAGTAATACTGTACCTCTTTTTCATCTAGCAGTCTGCAGGGTTGCTCACAGCCAGTCTGTGGGGTGAGAAGGCAGGAGCTGCCAGTCCAGAACTAGATTCCAGCAGCTGCTGTGCAAGCATGCAAAGAAGAAAGATTTCTTCTCTCTTGTTTGAGTGGATAGTTGTGTAGCCTGAAATATAATTTGTTGTATACTTCCAACTGCTTAGCCTTACAAAACGTTGTTTCATTTGCCTTAGACATGATTAGTCCAGCTGAAGTTTCTAAAACCAAAATACGAGCTAAGTGACAAATATTTGCAATAGGAATTCTCGTGTTTTTTTGGTCAACATAGATGTATTTAATTTGCTAGTAACGCATGAATTTGCTTGGGGCTAATTTGGTGTATTCGCAGTGTATGGTGGAAATGACTGGATGAAAAGTCTGGAAGGATTAAATTCTTAGGATTTCCATATTTTTAAACTGACAACAAAATAAAATAAATGCATGCTCTATGTGTTTGCTGTCTGGACAAAAAGACAGAGATAAAAAGATTGACAAACAGCAGAAATAAATCAAGATTTTAAAATGCTCCATGTTACTAGGCTGCCTCTACACCCACTGTTCCTCCTTTTAATCCTGTTGTTGGGGTTGTCACTTGAGTAAACATTGCAGTTGCATTGTTTTCAGAAAGTAGATGATCCGGTCAATGTGGGAAGTGTTCTCTTGACCTGTTGATCCAAAGGGCACCTGCCCCTGTATGCCTAGTTTAGAGAGCCCCTATTTTCTTTCCTTGATGTGTAAAACTGTCATTTCCACCTTGAGCAAGCTCCTGTCAGACATTTGACATGCTAGAGAGCAATTCTCTGCCTATCATGTCCTGTGTGACAGAGACACTTCTTCATGCTGAAAGGCAGGGTTAGCAGGAAAACATGAAGATCCTGCTAACACCCTCTCAAAAGAGAAATGTTATACATATGGAATAGACCTCAGAAAAGTTGCCATCTTCAGGAATAATTTAATCTTTTGAAGGATGAAAACTCTCTTAGGCAGAGAGTTAACAATTTCTACTGGAAGTTTTTCTGGCTTTAGTAATTCATGATGTACAGTCCTCTCTGTGGTACAGGCAGCCTGTGCTTAAACTCAAGGGTGGAATCTCTTTTTTGCTTATCCTTGTTTCACCAGTGATGTGATATTGTTTCTTTTTTCTGAATTACATCACCATAAACAAGGGAATGGTGTTACTGTCTGAAACAGGCCGCTTCATTTGTTAAAGATTTATTATTTTGCAGTTCTTGCATACATGTAGCAGGTGGTACACCAAAACTGGTACAAAACGGCTTGTTTTTCTAACTTCTATCAATATCAGCTTGAATACAAACTTTGTGAATAGACACTGCCACACATTGCTGCTTCACTTAAAAAGCATGATACAAGAGACAGATTTTCTCGTAGTTATTCTATAAATACACTTGTAACTGGAGCTATTATTAAAAATCTGCTAAGACACAAATGTGTAGAACCCAGGGGTGGCATTAAACAAACTCCAAAGGCAAATCTTGTCCAGAATAGAAAAAAAAACCCTGCAATGTTTTCAGGGAGTGTGGGACTCAGACACAATGTGCAAAGAGCCCTTGTAGGTTGGGGAAGGTGTTTCCTTAGATCACAGTAACCGCGTGCATAAGCATGTTCCCTTCGCGGAGGCAGACCAGTCCATGTTTCTGTGCCTTAAAGAGGAGTTTAAGGCACAGCAGGGGGCACAGGGATTGCCTGCTGTACAGGCTTTAGGCTGGACCCTACTCCCTGAACCCTCCAGTTTCAGTGAGGTGGCAGCAGGGCTTCTGTAAAGAATAGACAGTGGAAATGCACTATGCAAACCGCGAGCTTTCTTCAGTCGCTGTTACACCTAACATCAATAACTCTGTTCCTGTAACTGTGGCTGCTACAATGACTCTAAGTAAACTATAATTTTGGGTAACTTTTGCCTTCATTCATGGGAATTTCATGTGAGTGCAACCTGGAAGAAGCAAGCCCAGGGCAATGTGAAATGATACACGCCAGCTAGTTTAAGATTACAAATTTAGACACTGAAATGTCTATTTCTTTTCTTCTTCACTGGGAGTGGAGCTTTATTGTCTCTTAGCTGGAATTGATTCTAAGCCATTTTTATTCATTTGGATTTATTTTTAAGACCAGCTGGTAGCAGGGTCAGCACGAGAGCAGATTAGTCACCATGTATAATCCTTTATGTACTCAGGGAGGGCATATATTTGTATATATCTATCTACATATGAGGATTCACTGTGTAGAACAGGAAGTTAAAGCAGAAGTGAGAAAAGGGATGCTGAGAAACAAATAATACTGAGGAAGTAGTACTGATTTTCCATCATTGTTTGTTGGATCATGTTTCCTGGTAAGTTATCATGACTTTATTTACTTATGAGTGTTTGTTGGAAAGCAAGAGATATCTAGGAACAGAGGGAGTTTCTTGATTTACTTTTTAAAATGTAACTCAACTCTATTACAGATTTTTGTTTTCATTCCAGGAACCAAGAACAATCTCGACATTCAGCATTACAAGGTACTAGGCTTGTGTGCTAGTGTTAGACTGGTACAATTTTTTCTGTATATTCAGACCTCAGAATTTAATCTCTGCCCTGTTTTCTTAGTTGTGTTTCACAGATGTGTTAGAAGGGGAAGTATGCAGAGGAATATGTAGTTTTAGCATGGACAGAGTTTTGCTGTTACTTAGTGCCACATTGATTCCAATAATAAAAATACGAAAATGTAGTGCAGTGTAATAATAGTTATATATTATGTAAGCACACTGTTGCTCAATAGGTTGTCAGTAATCAAGCACTTCTGTATGTCAGGAGGTATTTGGATATTTGGGGCAAAACTGCCATACTAGGTTAACTGTAAGAGTTGTTCCTTATCCAGGGCTTAGTTCACCAGTGCTTTCGATTATTAATGCAACAGCAGGATTATTTGTGCAGTGAATGTTACTCAATATGAGGAAGGGCTACTGAACCAGACCCTAATTAAAAAAAACAAAAACCAGACCCTAGTTAAAAAAACTAATTAAAAGCTGTAGTTGGCTGAATAAGTATTATTCATCATGGCATCTGCTTGCTGAATAAAAGTATCTCTAGGGCTGACATTACATGATCCTAGGGGCTGAACAAAACCCTATTGAAATCAAATAGTTAATTGAAGTTTTGTAGGACTGGAGATCAAAGGATTTATTTTGAAGATATATATATATATTTAGATGTAAGGGTAGGCATGATGTTCTTGTTTCTCTTTGGTTTTTATACACATAGTTTATAAATCCAAAGCCAGGATTTCTCAGTCCAATATAGGGCCTTGCCAGTTTGGAAGTTAGTTTCTTTCTGAAGCTAGTATGAAAATATTGGTTATTTTCCAAGGAATTTTACAGAATACATTTTTTTTTTTCCTGTCTATTTCAGGGAGAGACCTTGACTTTGCAAAAAAAGCATTTGTAATGATTCTGGAAAAACATGTAAATATCAAATCCGAAGTGTATTCCAATTTTAAAACATAAAAAATCCTTTTAATCAGTAACTGATTTTTCAAAGCATATTTTTAAACAAATCAGTTTCCGTTTTCCCCTTCAGAAGCTAAACATTTCACTGAAGATCAGTGGGCATTTGAGTGTTTCACATTGTGATTTTGTATGTGATTTTTTTGTGGAAAAAAAATTCTCTTCTGTGATTTGGAACTGATAACAGCTTTTGATGAATAAGTTACTGTATTTCTTGTCCCATCTTCATAATAGTTCTGGTTAAATAAGTTGTCCAAAATAATTGTAAATCATAATAATAATAAAAAAAGTAGCTTAGCCCATTTGTTGTGTTTCTGTTCTACTGTGCTGAGGAAGAAAGCAGTCTGGTATAAAATTTGGGATATTAAAAATGTTTATGGGAAATACCTGGATACTGTTTAATTAGATCTGTGGACAGGCTTCAGTCTCACAATCACATCTCCAACTTTTTATATAGTTTGGGTTCATAACTGAGTGTAGCATTTTGAGCATTTATATGTCAATCAGAGTCCCTGGATCTGCACGTTGGGAAAACCAGGATCTGAGACATTGTCTCTTATTTTCACTTTTGTATTATCTCGACAGGTTAACAATGTCAGAACAAAACAGAGCCAAACTGGAAGATGCAAATATCCTATGGAACACTGTTTGTTTCTGCATGTTTGACTTGTTTTTAGCTGTTATAGAAAACATAAGACTAATGAGACATAAATCAGTGCTGTTCTGAGGAAGTGAATTCACTAGGAGTGTGAAGTAAAATTATATTTGTGTTTCTTGTAAGGTGAGACTTGTTAGAAACAGTGGGATTGTACCTTGTTGGTGTCATTCTGGGTGTTGCTAAGCAACATGAAGTGGTTTAAATGGAGATACAGAAGAAGATTGTGGAGAAATAAAAAAAAACTTAGAAAAAGCATAAAAGGGAGTAAACGTGCCAGCACATCCTGCAAAGAAGTTGCAAAGTATCAGTTGGGAAAAAGACAGCATTTAAGGTCATAGAGAAAAAAGAAAACTGACACCAGGTGAATTAGGAACTTGATTACATACTTCATATTCAGTCTTTCCATATTCAAACTTTTCAGTTCTTTGCTTGAACAACTGATAGCTCTTTTGGCCCCAAATGGCACAGCTAGTGGTGAAAGAGAATAAAAGCCTGAAAGAAATGTGAGGCATGAGAAAAATTGAGAAATGACACCACCATACCAGTAATAAAAAGAGAGTTCACTCTCTGTGTTGTTGGCAGCAAAACAACAAAATGGCAGGGCACTTTCATGCATGTTTTCTATTCTACCCCAGGGAAGTGGTCATGGCACCAAGCCTGCCAGAGTTCAAGAAGGGTTTGGGCAATGCTCTCAGAGACAAGGTGTGTTTTTTGGGGTTGGCCTGTGCAGGGCCAGGAGCTGGACTGGGTGGTCTTCCAGGGTGCCTTCTGCCTCAGGATGTTCTGTGATTCTCTTGTTTTGATTTTACTCTAATTTTGCTTCATATGTTCTCTGAGGTTGTAAGGAAAACATGTTAAAATACCATTTTTATGGAACAGGTACGGTTCTTCCCTCATATCTTGGATTGATCCATACCAAAAATACACTTCTCATTGTCCAATGTTCCTCATAACTGTATTAAAGCTTTCCACCTGAAGTGAAGCAATGCTGGTGTGACTGCATGTCCCAGGCTGGGTCAGGTCACTGCTGCAGACCAGACTACGTGCTGGAATGCTGTGGATGGCATTCTGATTTATATTGCCAATACTTTCTCACTCAAACACTTTAATGACTACCTACAGAATTTTCACTTTTTTTGTGCCTATCTTCATTGTTTCCAAAGTTTCACTCCATTTGTCTTCTGCCATTGAAAATTAATCATTCTTAAGATTAGTTCTTTCTCACTTGGTATGTCTTTCTTCCCTTCTCCTTTTCCATAGCATGTATTTATCTTGACATTTTCTGCCTTCAGACTTCTCACCTCTCTTTCCCACAAGTATGTATTTTGTTATCAAGCCCTAAAAATGTACTTCAGGAAACTGTGCTGTCAGTTTCTTCTGCTTTTCCACTCTGCTTCCCACCCATTCAGACTGAACCTCTCATGCCTTTGGCCTGTGACACTTCTAGGACAAAGATGAACAGGAAACTTTGTCTTGAGGGTAAAACCCAAGTGCAAAGTTGTCTCTACCACCAGTCCTGTCATCACAGGACTTCTTCCACACGTCTGCCCCAGACACTGAGCAAAGGATCTAAGTTATTTTGTCTTCTGGTAAGTGAAAACTAGACCCATTTGAAGAGTTCCTTCCTCCTTAATTTCTCAAAGTCCTGTCTCTGAGTCGCCCTCTACTCGTGTACTTGCCCAAACCCTTATCTGATGCATCATGGGAGCCCTCACATGTCAGTTTTCCCACATATCCTCAATTGAAATGTTAGGATGCGTCTCATCCTGCCTTCTGCTCTAACCAAAGGCGGGTGTCTTACAGCCAGAACAGAAATGATCTCACTTGGGAGTGGACCTGCACTGAAAGTTACACTCAGGTCAGTTATACAGCCATAGGGCCAAAACCCGTTACTTTTCAATTAAATCTTGGATTCTGCAGGGTGATCTCTGTTGCCCTGG